ATATCTCCCAGGGACGGTGGCTCCCACCCCACTGGCTGCCTTCGCAGGGCAATCGGTGGGGAGCACATGGGCCTTATCTGTGGGCCAGCTGCGGGCAGGGCTCCCTGCCATCCCTATCAGCAGGGTGGCTCCAGACCTGGGGCTAAGGTGAGCCAGCCCCATCCCTGCCACGCTGGGGCCAGGGCTGGGGGCACTGCCACGGCCCCACGCTGACCATTGCAGGGGGATGCTCGAGGGGCCCAGGACCCCTCTCCAGCGAGCGTGATGCTGCTGGATTTGCAGGGGTCCAGCCGAGGCTGTCGCACTGGGTGGTTGTGGGTTGTGGTGGGGGCATGGGAAGGTGGACGGTGGCAGCAGCCTCGTGTGACCGCCAGCAAGTTCTGGCCCCACCATCCACTTCCACCAAACTCTCAGCAGTGGTTTCCTCACCAGGGCGATGCTTGCGGACGCCGGGAGGGCCAGACGGGGCCAGCACCCTGGGAAAGGCTTTCCTGTCCCTTTCACAAGTCTGGTTGACCTCTACGTTTTATTTGTTTCTTTTGAGTCGCGCCCACCCTCCTGCTTCCAGTGGCTCGGCGGGGTGCTGCCGGGACACCGGCGGGGTGGGGGATGCTGCCTCTCCCCTAAACTCCTGGGGTGGGGGGTACCAGGGTCATCTGTGGTCATGCAGAGTGTGGGCATCCCTACAATGAGATGCCAGTGAGGTGGGTTCCAGGCATCCCCACACACCACAGGGTCCCATCGCTCCCGGGGTGCTGGTCCTGCCTGGCACAGGGACTGGGCAGAGCAAGGGATGTCCCTTGGGAGAGGGGGTGTCCTGACCGCTCTGTCCCACTGAACAGTCCGTCCTTCTGTGTCCCAGGACAACAGTGACCACGGATGACCAAAAGCATGGGGTGAAGATCTTTATTGTCTGCTTGTCTGGCTGGACCACAGCCTGATCTGAATGTGGAGTTCTCGCTCCTTAGCATCCCTGCTGTCCACCACGGCCCTAGGCGCTGGGTGGGAGAGGAGAGTGTGGGGAAGAATGCTTTTTGTCCTCCTACCAGCTCCTACCAGGGTTTTGAATGAGGATTTTCCTTCTCTGCCATGTCCTGGCTATGGGGAAGTTGGTGATGGTCGGCTGGTAGCCTGCCATGCCCACCCTGCCGGGGTTGGCCCCTCCATCCGTAAGCACTGGGAATTAGAGACGAGTGGAAAACTGTCTAAAACCCCATGCAAATATTTGCATTTCAAGAGCTTTTCCAAGTATTGGGGAATGCTGACAAAGCAGCAGCGTGGGTGATGCAGGCATACTGAGAGGGTCCATTTGCTTTTTTTTTCTTTTTTTTGGGCAGGATTTCAATGGTCGGACAGTTTTGTTTAAAATAAAAATACCTAACGAAGCAGATGGAGAGATTTGCCAGCGCTGCTGCTGGCCCCCCTACCAGCTCCTTGGTGCAAAACAGCCACCCTGATGCTGAGGGGACCATGAGCCTACAAACCACCCCTGCCCTGGGCCGTTGGGTGCATGGCTCCCATCTCACTGCTCCATTTTCCTTCTCTGCTGAAGGGGTTTTTGGCAGGAAAGGGGCTCCCTGTGACTGGTGCTGCTCTACCCTGGAGCATTCAGGGGGTGTGGGGCTGAGGTCGAGGTAGTGGGACTTGCCTGGAGCCTTATGTGACCCCCCGTCCTGTCCCTGCCAGGGGATGCTCACCTGCTGTTGGCTCCTGCCTGTCCTGCTAGGTTTTGCCCGTGGAGAAGGGTGACTGGGGGAGAAGGGTGGCTATGGACCCTGGTTGCCCCAGGACCACCCATCCCAAGCATGGACAGGGGCTGGAATAAAGGGAGAAGTTAGGGGGGGGGAAACTGGGCTACCCCATCCCACTGCATTTCCCTTCTCCACACCCATCTCCGGCTCCCGGGGCAGGTCAGCGCAAGCAAGTCACGGGCACGTCCCATCCTGTCGGCACCGGGAGGGCTGTGGGCTGCGGGCTGCAGGGGCCAGAGCCCTCCCTGTCCCCGGGGGGCAGCTCTGGGGTGCTGACACCCAGCCCCACAGAACGCCATCCGCAGCAGGACGGTGTGATGGACGTGTCCTGGCCCCACGCAGGGTGGGTTTGGGCACAGGGATGGGGCTGGTGGAGGTGGGTCAGTGCTGCTGGGTGCCACTGGTGCCACCAAGAGGGGGTGGAAAGGGGAGTGTGTGCAGCAGTGGAGCCCCCCCCCTGCTCTGGGTTTGGGGGTCCAGACGTGGCCTGCATCCCCCTCCCGGGCTGGTGGGATGCTCCGTGCCCCACAGCCGTACCTGGCACCTCGGGGTGCGCTGTGCTTGGGGGGCGCAGGTGTCCCAGGGCTTAGTCAGGCTCAGGTAGACGGTGGTGAGGAGGGCCACCGTGATGCTGGAGCAGGGAGTCAGGGACAAACAGACACAAGTGTCCTGGGCAAGGGGACGGCTGTGCGTCCCATGCAGCGGGCACCCGTGAGTGGTGTTGGCCCTGGGGCTACGTGCAGGCGGGGGAATAGGCTCCTGCATGTGACAGCCTGGGCAGCGCAGCACGTGTCCGTGCATGCCGGGGCAGGGCTCTGCCTCCCCGGGCCAAGGATACGTGCAGATGATCGCCGTGGTGATGGACCACAGCGGGACGAGCACCAGGTAGCTGAGGCAGGACGGCAGAACCACCGTGACGTAGCCCGTGGTGACGGTCACCAAGAGGCAGATGCGGTGGGTGTCACAGGAGCTGATGTGTTTCTTCAGCCGTAGGCAATCCTGGTGAAACTGGTGTGGCACAGGGGTGCTGGGTGGGTGGGTGGGGCCCGCAGCTCCCACGTACCCCATGGGGCTGGGAGCACCCAGGGCTGTGGCTGCCCACTGCAGGCAGGGGCTGCGTGTGCGTGGGGCTGTGTGTGAGCTTGTGCAAGGCGGGGGCGAGCGTGTCTGCACGTCAACGAGGTGTGCAAGGGGCGTCTGAGTGCACAGGGCTGGGCGTGCAGCCTGAGGATGTATAGACAGAGGTATAGGGTGCAACGTGGAGCGCTGCATGTGCGGGGCACAATGTATAGAGCTAGGTATAGGATATGGTGTGTAGGGGCTGCAGGGCTGGGCGTGCAAGGTGTAATGTATTGGGATGGGTGTACATGGGGTGCAGTGTGTAGGGCTGAGCATGCCAGCTACAGATAGTGTGCCACAGTAGGTGTGGGGGCACAGTATATAGGGCAGGATGGGGGGGGGGGTCACATACAGTGTGTAGGGACAGGGGTAGAGGGCTTGGTTAATGGGGCTGAGGGGTGGGCTGGGTGTGCGCGGCGCCCCGTGTCCCTCACCTCCACGGAGCAGTTGCAGTGGGGGCACCGGCGGACGCGTGGCCAGCTGTGGTGGTGGCACCCGTGCAGGCAGCACCGTCCCGCTGTGCTGCAGAGCCCCTGCTTCAGCCTGTCCTCCCAGACCACTGCTGCGGGTGATGTTGGGAGATTGTGTGTCCCCCTCCCCCAGCCCCAAGGGCCACCCTGCCATGGAGCAGCCCCTGCTCCCTGTCACCCCACCTAGCTGGAGGAGCTCCAGGTTGGCTATGCTGTGCAGGACCAAGCTGGTGAGAGCCAGGAGGAGGATGGTGGTGGAGCTGGGGACCCGCAGCACGACGTGTGGAGCCAGCCAGCTGTACCTGCAAGCGGAGGGGACGGGGAGGATGGGGGTCAGGCCCTGGGGCTGCTGTGGGAGAGGCAGAGAGCAGGCAGAGAGCCTTGGGGTGCTCAGCCCCAGGGGCTGCTGGAGCTGGGGGTTGGTGGGGAAGAGGACACAGCTCCAGGCTGTTTGAGCCGATGCCTGGCTCTAACGTCTTGAGGACACTGGTGTGAAACAGCAGCTCTGCTGCCCCACATCCCCGGGATGGGGCTTGGCCCATGGCTATGGGGTGAATAAAAGGAAGGAGACCAGCGAGCTCAGGTAGACGAGAGAGATGAAATGAAGGGAGTTGAGATGCTCCATGGTGGGCCGGGCAGCTGCAGGGCCCTGGCCTCACAGGTTGGACGGCATCCCACTCCCACAGCAACCAGAGAGAAACAAATCCCCCATTCCATTCCCGTGACAACCACAGCATCCTCCTCCTCCCCCCCCCCCCATCCCATTCCCACAGCAACTGCAGCATTCCCCCTCCCTGCCCTCTATGCCATTCCCACGACAACCACAGCATCCTGCTCCCACAGCGGGGTGCAGGGGACCCATTTGGGGTGCTGGTGACACTCTGGCTTCAGCAGAGGGGCAAGGGGCAAGGGGCTCGAAGGTCCCTGGCGACCCAGTACAAACCACTGCTCATTTTCCTTAGGGTGCTGGGAGGACACCAGGAGCCATGGGCACCCCTGAGACCCATCTAGGAGGAGGATAGTCTGCTCCCCACGCCAAACACCCCAGCTCCCCACTCAGTGTGTTCCCTCCAGTCGGCCATCCCCTACCCTGATTCTGTCCCAAGAGGCCGAGGCGCTGAGCCGGGGTGCTGAGCGCTGGGCCAGTCCTGCCCTCTAGCGATGTGGCAGCCGCTCCCAGCTGGGCTCAGCCCCCGGCTGCTGGGAGCTGAAACACTGCAAAAACTCCTCATCAGGCCTGCGGAGCCCTGCAGGGTCTGCCAGGCTTCCCACGGCCCCGCAGCATCACCTCCCACCCGGCTGCTGCTGCCGGGGCGTGAGGATGCGTCCCGGACCCTGCGCGGCACCACGGGGACCCCCAGCACCACAAGCCCCTCTCCAGGCTGCCCAGGCAGCGTCGCCCCAGCTCCGATGCCCTGCTCCCCAAGCTTTGGGGACGCGCAGGCGCGGGTGGTAACCGCCTCTCCCGGCACCCTGGGTCAATAACCGGGCGGCCGAGGCGCTCGGCAGGGCCGGGACGGCGTGGGGGGCACGCCAATGGGCACCCGCAGAGGCGGGAGAGGGAGGGGAGCACTGGAGGCTGCTGGTTAAACTAGAACAAGGCGCAGCAGCCTCTGCACGGTCCCTGCCCCGGGGACTCTGACCCCACGGGCCGGCAAAGGGAGCCAAGGCAGGCGGTGCTGAGCAGCCCCACAGCCGCTGGGACAGAGCCAGGGAAGAGCAGAGCAGGATGGACCCCACCATGGAGCTGGCAGAGGACCCCAGGTAAGTGCTGGGGACCCCCGTGCTGCTTTGAAGTCGGGTAAATCTAACTTTTTGGAGCAGGACTTTTGAGTTATTCTCTCTGTAAAGGAAGGGAGGTGCTTGGGGGGTGAGGCGAGCCAGCCAGGGGACCTCAGGGACCCTGCGGTGCTGAGGGTCCCGTGTCCCTACCAGCCCCATGCAGCGCTCACTGCCCTTCCCCACAGGTTCCCCCACTCGTTGGTGGAGATGCTGATCAGGAACTTCAGCGTGCCGGCAGCCTGCTTCGCTCTGCCGCCCACCTCCCGGCAGCTGCTGCAGCGTAGGTGGGGGGACCTGGGTGGGGGGGACCCTCCTCTTACCCCTGGCAGGAGTAGGACAGGGATGAAGGAGGGAGGGGTGGCTGCGGCGAGTGCAGGCAGAGCCCAGGGAGGGCCAGCACCGGGGCAGGTGACATGAGACACGGGAGCAGTGGGGCAGGAGCACCAGCTCTGGCACAGCCAGATCTGCTGAGGATGCGGCAAGGGGTTTCCCAAAGCTGTGGAGTGGTGGGTGAGGTGTCAGCTCCCTGCCGTGGTGGCCCCAGGGAGGACAGGACAGGATGGAGCTGGCTTCTCACCCCTCCCCGGCAGAGCTGGACGTGACCCAACTCGCCATCCTGGGCCTCGCCACCATCATGACGCTGCTGTCGGTCGCGATCTTCGTGGAAGAGGCTTTCTACCTCACCCGCAAGATCCGCTGCCCCATCAAGATGAAGACCCTCCGCTGGAGCAGCTCAGCCCCTACGGTCAGTTGGGGTGTAGGGGTGCTGAGGGGTGTCACCCCAAGGGTCCAGGGCCACCCGAAAGGTGCCAGCCCCCAGCAGGGGGGAGCAACAGTGTGCCAAGCTCGCGTCTCCCCCAGGTTGTGTCTGTGGTCAGCTGCTTTGGGCTGTGGATCCCGCGCTCCATGATGGTGGTGGAGATGGCTACCACAGCGTGAGTATCACCTACCCTGGGGCTGGGGCATCGGAGAGTCCACGGAGCCTGACCTGCCTTCCTCCTCCTCCTCCTCTTCCTCCTCCCCAGCTACTTCGCCATCTGCTTCTACCTCCTGATGCTGGTCATGGTGGAGGGCTTTGGGGGGAAGGAGGCAGTGCTCAGCACCCTGAAGGGGGTACCCATGGTGGTCAGCACTGGGCCCTGCTGCTGCTGCTGCCCCTGCCTGCCCCGCATCACCATGAGCAGGTGAGGGAGAGCTGGGGTAACCCCCTGCCCCGGGGAGGGCTTTTACCCCGTGCTGCTGCTGGGGTGGAAGAGAATTCCCTGGGGCAAGGGCTTGGGGTCCTCAGGGTGCTACCGGTCTCTCTTGCTGTGCCAGGAGAAAGCTTCAACTGCTGATGCTGGGAACTTTCCAGTATGCCTTCTGCAGGGTGGTTGCCGTCTTCCTGGGGCTGGTCCTGGCCACCGATGGGAACTACAACCCTGCTGACGTGAGTGCCAGGGCACGGGGACGGGCAGGGTGACGTCCTGGACAGGGAGCCTCTACCAGCCCTTGCCTTGCCCAGCAGCTTTGTCAGCCCAGGCATGCTTTCTGCACTTCCTTGCCCAGATCTCTGCGGAGAGCGTGGCCCTCTGGATCAACACCGTGGCCGGCGCCTCCACCCTCTTTGGGCTGTGGTCCCTGGGCATCCTCTTCCGGCAGGCCCGGCTACATCTGTCTGAGCAGAACATCAAGGCCAAGTTCTTATGCTTCCAGGTGAGCCCTAGTCCTGCCCAGCTCCCCCCTAGGCAAGGGGCTCCTCCGGCACAAATGGGATGAGGTGGTGTGGGGAGAGATGGTGGGGCAGGAGCCACTGGTGGGCAAGAGCCGGGTTCAGCTGCAGGAGAGCAGGGAAGGCGAGGGGCAGGAGCCTGGCAGCAGCGTGGCCCTCACCACCTCGGGTGTTGGTGGCTGCAGGTTCTCCTTGTCCTGACGGCACTGCAGCCTGCCATCTTCAGCATCCTGGCCAACAACGGCAACATCGCCTGCTCACCACCCTTCTCCTCCAAGGCCAGGTCACAGCGTAAGTCAGGAGATGGGGGAGCAGCGTCATGTACTCCCGGCTGAGCCCCTCCATTGCATGGCACAGCACGGGGAATGGGCATGGTGGCCAATGGCCCTTTTCCTCTTCCAGAGATGAACGTGCAGCTGTTGATCCCACAAACCTTCATCTTGGCAGTGGTGACACGGATGTACTACCGCAAGCAGGACGACAAGCCCGGCTACCAGCCCGTCAGCTTCGCACCTGCAGTCACCGACACCAAGGAGTGAGCAGGAGGGAGCAACTGGGGTGCTGAGGGGCAGAGTGAGGCGAGGGGCTGGTCTGCCCTGTACAACCATCTCTTCCTCCTCCAGCCCTGGGGAGCTGCTGGCAGCAGAGGGGGAAAAGAACATCTTGGCCTGGGGTGAAAAGATCCAGAACCTGAAAGCCACAAGCCAAAGGGATCTGTGAAGCTGCCTCCAGCCCAGGGGGCTCTTGTCTGGCACTGAATAAATTTGTACCCAAGTCTTGCATTGGTGACTGGGCTCAGATCATCTCCTGCCCATGCTGGGTGGGAGATGACTCCACACAGACAGAGGAAGACAGAGCCCAGCCCAGACATGGCACAGGGTGCCTAACACCCAGCTGTGACGCTGACCTCTGGGTGCTGCTGTCGGGGGTCTGACGGCCAAGGCAAGGCCAGGGCAGCAGCGTTTTCTCCTGAGACCTCTGGATGGGTCTGGCCTATCCCTGTGGCATGTCCTCCACAGCAGTAGCTGCTCCCGAGAGCACAGCAGGAGCATCCGCGCCTGCCAGCCTGGGGCCAGGCAAGGGAAGGAGTCTTGAAACACCTTCATAACACAGGCAATTAGTTAATGCTGTCTTAACTGGCCTTGCTGAGGATCTGCTCCAATAGCAGTATCTGCTCTACACTTAGAACAGAGGTGGGGATGTACATCAGGAGCGATGATGACTTGCAGAAACCACTTTTGACCTGGCTCATGTGTTTTGCCCAAAGATCAAGCTCTGTGCTATTCCTGATAGCACAGGGCAGTGCTAGAGATGAGGCTGGTCCAGCAATCCAGGAGGAAACAAAAAAAACAAAGGGAAAAAAAAAAGTCTAGTCTGGGATTCAAGTGTCCAATTTAATTTAAGTGCAAGGAGGAAGCAGGGATTATTGGTTACAAGAAACAGCTCTGTTACTCCAAGCTACATGTAAAACCATGGCTGGCTTCTTACCAAGCACCCCAGGTTTTGCAGACACCAAGAAACATGTTAAGGTCTCTGCAGAACAAACCACAATCCCAAACACCATTGTTATCCAAATTTACAGAACGCTGTTGCATAACTTGTGTTTAAAATAGTAAGGCTCTAAAGCAGACTGGTCTTCGTGATCTGGCTTGGGAAAGAAATGCAACATCCATACTGAGGAAAGGGTGAGGAAGGGAAGGTGGGGAAGGTGAGGGGAGAGAGAATAATGAGGGACATAAAGTAAGTGCTCTACCACTCATAAACCAGGAGATTAATGACTGGCTTTTACCAACTGACCATTATTTGCTCCTTGCAGCTTAAAATCCATAGCAGCCAGCCATGCTCCCAGAGCCATGCACATCCCTGCTGAGAGAGGTCCAAAATGGCAGATGAGGAATCCCCAAAATACCCTTTTCCCCATGTCGACTCTGGCTTCAACAGAAGCAGAGAGTCTCTGTCAAGCCCTCTGGGCAGTGTGGCAAAGGATCAGCAAGATAAAAGCTGAAAAGAAGCGGCAGCCTGCTCCTCCCTCAGGGCCCCTGTGTCCCCTGGAAGCATGGCACTGTGCAGAGCCTGTGGCAGCACCTGACGATTTGCCTCCTGGCACTCACTGCTCCCCAGGCCTCGCACCCCGCTCTGAAGACCTCCCTGCAGTATTGCTGACCTGGCTCTGAGCTGTCCTCCGCTCCCAGCATCACAGGAGGATACGGGCAGCTCAGCCCAGCAGCTCCACCCAGAGACAACGGCTATCACAGGGGAACCCAAACAGAAAAGCAAGCGGGAGTTTCACAGCTATGCGACAAGACCGGTCCCTCCAGCGCTGGCTGCCAGAGCAGAGTGCTGGGAGCTACGCTGTGCACACGGGGAGGGCAACTGCCCGCGGGGAGCCACAGGCCACAAAGCTCAGTGTTTATTACAGACACGACAGCAGGCACGACTTGGACCATGGTTTCAAACAAGCAGATTACATGTTTAAAATCTTCAAAAGCTGCAGTGCTCTCTGATGCTCTTTCTGCCCTGCCTCAAGGAGCGGAGTAAGAGGGCACCGATTTGTGCATTTATTGCGCAAGCCAGGTAACTGCCACGCGGGACCGGGACCCTTCCCTGGGGTAAAACGTGCCCTTCACCTGCCCGGCTGCACACACCAGCACGGGCAGCAAACTGCCTGTACAAATTCACGTTTTGTCCTGATAGCAGCAACTTCATGGCACCAGTGTAAAGGACTGCTCCAGCCCTTAGAGCACAGCAACTGAAACACAGACAAACACGCACAGAGCACAGTGTTGAGGGGCCATTTGGACAGACAGTAAAACTTATTACACACCAGAGACTGGGACAAGGAACTTCTCAAAGGAGTACACACATTCATTTCCTACCTGGGTGCTCACACACCCAAGGAAATGCACTGACAGCAAGTGCCCTGAAGCAAAGATTCATTCTCTTCTCTCCAACAGCAACTGAGGGCTGAATTTTAGCTCAGGATTTAGCAGTCTTGTTAAGATTAGCTGGGAAGGCCAGCCCCTGCAGAATTTGGAGCTGCGAATGCTGCGCACTTATGGGGTGGGCGACCCTATAGTGCTGGGAGTTCTTCCAGGGTGTAACTCCTGCGTGCTAAGCTGGTAGCCCCCCACCCAGCACGTCCTCACTGCGACACGCTGGAGAGTTCAGCTAAGAGGCACACGAGCACTACAGGGGCTGCTGGATAGATTCCTAATAGCTCCAGAGCAGCAGAGATGTCTCTATTTCCTAGAAGCCTCTTTACACCACCGCTTCCTGTGTGCTCTCGAGGTCACGCTGGTTGAGGAACCGAGGGGTCTTTCATTTGGCAGTGGCATGGATACTGCCTGGGGGTGGGGGAAGTAAGACAGAGGAGCTGAAGAAAAGAAAAGACAGATGGGTCTTCCCACTCTCCCTCCTGCCTGGAGGTTTAACAAGGGAAAGAAACCAAAACAAAAGCCACGCTTGAGTGCTGTTCTTTGCTCTTTAGAAGACTATTTTCCTAAAATATAAAAACCATCTTCCCCCTGGAAACCACCAGAACGTAAACAATAAAAAGGGGATTTGAGGAGGAAAAGGGAGAGGAGGTTTGAATGTGCTTCCAGGCAGTGGCCCTTGCTAAGAGCGACGGGTGCCTCCAAGGCCCTGTGCTCACCGTCAGCCCTGCTCCTATGGCTCTCTTGCTCATTTCGAGTTCCCCAGTGGGTCCGGACTTAGGATTCAGCGATTAGCGGTTCACAGTAAATCCCAGCTGGTAACTTAATCCTCTTCATCCTCACTGATGTCATAGGTGACTGCAGACTCATTCCTGGAGCGGTTGGCCGGTGAGGAAGGAGGAGTCTTGGTTGAAAAGGGCCAGCGGAAGGAGGGAGACGGGGAGCGATCGTGTGTGGGGCTACTGCTGGGACTCTGCTTCGGGCTGATGGCCTGCAGCATCCGGCCCTTGCCCTCCTTCAGCATGTGTTTCTAGTGATGGAAGCGGGAAGACAGTTAGCATGGGTCAAACAGCAGTGGAAGACTTGTGCAGCAGCTTGAGTTGTTGTGCCCCTTCAAGGCTTCATGCAATATAAGAGCAGAAAAAGCCCAAGCATTGCTCTAGGCTTTGGAAACTGCATACAGTGTAATCATCACCCATTCTCGAGCACTTCTAACATGAAGTGCCTGTGATATTTATCCAGCAGCACAGGAGAGCCTGGCAAAAACAAGTAGCTTCAGACTCATGCCAGGCCAGTGACAAAGTGACTGCCAAGCTCTTGGCTGCTCTGTGGCCTGCAGGACACAAGCTGGAGTTTATAGACCAGCTTGTGGGACATGGGAACTTCTCATGCTACAACAGTCATTGGCATTATCCAGTTGCAAGGGTGATGGGTCCCTGTAAACAGGCTGCCCAGGCCTGGGACAATTTGCCTGGAGACTGGCAGCACATCGAGCACTGCAACAAACCATAAACCTTTGCTCTGCAGACCGTGGGCTTCAGAAGCCCTACAGTGACTGCCAAGCTCTCCAAAATCCCCCTTCCCCTTTTCCCAGAGCAGCTCCTTACCAACGCGCCTTCTGGGCCAAACATCTCCAGGAAATTGCCGATGAACTCCCGGGACTTCTCTTCCCACTTCTGAATGAGATCAATACTCTTCTCCTCCACTTTCTGGACAAACTCCTTTGACTTCTCCTCTACATCCTTCACCCTCTTTTTCACCTTATCCACACGCTCTTGGAGGTGATATTTCTTCTCCTGTACAGTAAGCGGTGGATCAGAATACAGCTCACCAGATCTGAGCGGCGACCACCTCTGCTCTGTGTTATTACACTGAACTGCTGCTTAAGACTCAGCATCTCCATTAGTCTTGTGACACTTCTTCACTTCAGTGACACTCCTTCACTAGACTAAATGGCAGACATAGTGGGGCTGTGAGATGCTTGCACTGGCACAGTACACAGAGCGAGACTAAACCCAGAGATAAGCACTATCTAATGGAAGTGCATGAAAGAGGGAAATATTTATACAATATACAGATTAGATTTGAGTGACCTGCTGTAGGTCTCTGCGTATCACGACAGTACAAGTCTTTTTGCTGGGTGTTTTTAAACAGAGGCAGAGTTACACGCCAAAGAGAGGCCAAGCAGCCATTACCTCTCCTGCTTAATTTTTGTATTTGATTGTATTTAAAAAAACAGGCACAGTATCTGAGTGATTAAAAAAAAGTTTACTACTTTACTTCCAACATCAGAATTGCCTTCTGCTTTGTATTCTGACTGTGGGCTAGAGCTGCTCAACACAGGATCAGAGCATGTCCTTCTCTCCCACCCAAGCACTGCTGCTCCTGCAGCTCCACAAAGGGAACAGTACAGTGAGAACGGGATCAGATTTTATCCTAACAAAGACTACCTTAAGAAGGTGGCTGAGGAAAGAGGAGAGAGATGAGACACAGCAGCTGCTGCCAAGAACAACCCACGCTTCATTCAATTCAAGAAATTTCACCACACACCCTGTCTCCAGCTCTTTCAACAGGTAAAATGTCACCAAGACTTTTCTGACAATGGAGCAGTATTAGCAAAATTTCAGTTCTGGGTGGGTCCCAGAGGCAGTTTCAGGGGCAGAAGAAGTCTAATTTCTACTCCAAGGACACTGGTTTGGTGCAACTGCTTAGCTCTGCAGACTGGTCTTTTACTGGCATATCGCAGGACCGTGCTATCACGAGATGAGACTCTACAACTCCCCACTCTGTAAGATTCTGCTTCGTGCAGCTTGTGGTGAGACACACTTCAACTCACGTTTATGAAGCTGACGTTGAGCTCTTTAGCCGTGTAGCCACGTTGCAGGTTCCGTCTGGCATAAACATCATAGTCCCGCACGATCCGGGTGATAATATCTGATGTTGAGATCCCCTCAGTCCTCTGAGTTGGTGCAAACATGCCTGAAGTTGGGGAACAGGGCCCAGGACAGCTTTAGCAAGACACATGGCAAAAAGTTGCTGCCACCTCTGTCAGCAAATAACATCTCCTGTCACAACTTCATTTCCTAACTGTCCTCACTCCACCACATCTTTGTCCTTGAATGTACAATACCAGGGTCCTCCTTCCTGGGACTACGAGGAAGACCCAGGGAAGACCAAAGCATGTCAAAACACCATGTCTTCTAATGAAAAGCTCTTCACTTTAGCTGGTTTAAAGATGACTGACTGTAATCCACTGCATATAGAATAGTGTGGTGACAAGGACCATACAAGGGGTCCTACAATTTAGTGAGTGGAAATATAACAAGCTCTGATAGCTGAGTTTGGATAGATTTAAATAAACTGCACCCTCACTGAGTTTCATAACAAACAGCTAGAGGAGCCACTTTGCTAAAATCATGAGATTCTCCATTTGTAAGAAGCTATAAGTCAAACTGGTATTTTTTTAAAAAATGTCTATTAATTCAATCACAATAACTAGGTTGGAAGTAGGAATTAATGCCGGGCAGTGCTTGGCCTGGACATGGCACAGTCCTAGCCTTACAAAGTAAGGCTCAAAGCTGGGCTTCCCGCCCTCAGAGACTCCTGGGCAGACCTCGTTTTCACAGGGGCCCAGCCACTTCCCCAGGCATAATCCTACCATACAGGGGCACAGAAGAAACTACAGCAGATCTCTGACAGGCAGCCCTGGAGAATCTGACCCAGACCCACCTGCTTCTTTTATATGCTTATAAACATCATCGCTGCCAGCAGAAGAATAAGGGATGTCATCGTGTGCAACGAAGTCAATCTGAAAATTAAGCAAGCAATCAACATTTTGTTTTGAAAGCGCGGGTCTCCTGCTTTCTGTCAAAGGATAGTAACTTTTGCTCAACACCTCCACGCAGGGGTGTGACAGATCAGCAAGACACTTTCCTCTGTTAAAAAGCAACACAGAGCAGTCCCAAGTTTTCACTGGCAACTGCGTATCAACTGTGAGCACACACCAGAGAGAAAAGGTTACCACTAAGGACACAGCTGTTTTAAGCTCCACAAATGGCTTGTTAATGGCAACAAAGGTAAACTAAGCAAACTCCCCTGGAGACTCCTTCACCTCCCAAAGCAGTTCAACAGATTGTTAAGAGACTCCTTTCACTGTATCTTACCAACTGATAAAAGATTCTCAACACAGCTTGCCTGGTCTCCTGTTGCAGGGAAGCTGATGTAGATCTAAGCCGCTCCTGCTGTGAGCACGGAGTTGGACCAGACGCCCTCCAGAAATCCCTTCCAACCCATGTTATCCTCTCCCCTACTGTGTCTCACATCAATCTGTAACCAGCATCAACTTCTCCTGGAACCGCGAGAACCCTTTCAGGCTTTTTCACCATGTCACAATCTCCATCTTATTTTAACATTACCTGCCAGCTCAGCAAATGCTTCCAGTCTCCCAAGAAACCCACTTGATTCCCATAACCCTGTTCATTCTATATTTAAGGAGTTTCAACAGAAACGGGTTGCTCAGGCAGAGGTCACCCCCATGGATGAATTTTTGCTGCAAACAGCAAGCGCAGACAGAGGCTAATCAAAATTCAGAACAGATCAGATGTCACAAATTACCCTGTGCTCTGCCAGGAACTCGGGGGTGAGCGTCCACGGCGCATTTCTCACCACTTCATCCACATAGCGACAGTGCTGCACAGCGTCATACCGCTCATTCTCATTCATTACCGTGAAGCCCTTGAAGTTATGGGTTAGCTCGTCACTGCAGACTGAAGAAACAGGCAGAGGAGAGTGAGCCTGAGGTACTTACCCCAACGCTTTACAGTGAAAGGACCTTGCACACACCCCTGTTAAACCAGGCAATGCCAGTTGCTGACGGAGGCTGGTGCTGGCACTTTCAAACTCAGCTCTTCCAGCCACAAAGCACCAGGAACAGGGCGCAGTGCAGGGCACTAAACTCCTGAGCAATCCTAGGCAGGCTGTTTGGGGAATTTCTGCCCAAGCTGGGGACCTACACCCCAAACCCTCAAGGTCTCCAGGGCCTACAATGCTTATCAAGAAAAGCAGCCAATACAGGAGACAACTGTCCTGTATGAAATGGCACCTGGGGAGCCTATCAGGCAGAAATCTGGTTTTAAACCTATGGATGTCTCAGGCTTGCAAACTGAAGCCCATGAAAGAAACCCACTGCCTAAGCTTCTGATTTCATAAAATGCCACAGTCGAGTTCTTGGAAAGTTGTATTAAAACAAAGGGTGAGTTCACAGAAAACCAAGTTAGCTTAATGATTATATTCTATGAGAAAGTAATTGAACAGCTCTTCATAATCTGCAGTGTAAGACACTGAGGAGGAAGGAGTTTTATTTAGTTATCAGACTCAAAAGTAAACAAGGCTTTACCAGTCTCACTGGTATTGGATGTATTTATGTTCTAAACAAACGATGAAGAGCAGGTGAGATTGCTCCCAGCTTGGAGCTAATGTTCCCTTGGGCTGTGGCTTCTTGTCTCAGTTCCTGGTACAAGGGGAGCAGTTTATTGCCCTTCACCTCCTCCCCAGTCTCCCAGAGGCAGAGTGTGGTTACACACCTTGCTGCATTAACATGTTAATAGTTTGACCTGAAGTTATTTTCCTGTTTAATGTACAACATTTACATACATGGGGATGTCTTTCTGCCTGCAAGATTTCCAAGCTCAGTGCATTTTGTAGGTTGAAGCAACTATTTCAGCTCCCTTCCCCTTCCAGACACTACTGTAGCACACACAAAAAATGCAGCAAGTGAAACTGTGGTAAGGAAACAAACCACACAGAGGTGTTATGATTGCTCCATGACAGGATCAGAGTCTTGTTTTGCTTCAGGAAGCTTATGGTTGTTGAGAAAACTAGTTAAAGGTATTCACAGCTCTGATACTTTAACATCATTATGAAGCCTGGCCAGAGGCCACCTCCTGATAGACAACATGCACAGCCTGACCTGTCTTTAAGGTGGGTGAAGGTATGGGCACAGGGGCACTGCCTGGACAGAGGCCAGAGTATTACAGCAGCCAGAAGAAAGAGTCTCTTTTTTCCCCGTTATATTTTGAAGGAGGCCTGGCTGAAACACCTCTGCTAGATTCCCTCAGACAGTCAGCAGGATATTCCTGGCATCATCTAAAGACTTCTGAACCTAACAGACAAAATGGGGAACTTTTATTTGGAAAAATGGGGCCTCACTGACTTCCATGTGGCCAGGCATATGCCCAAGGAACCACTGCGACCTCCACACTCCTAGTGGGACCTGTTTGGGATTAGACATAAGTAATCCCCAGCAGAGCTGGAGCAAAGGAGAGACTTGCAGGGTGATACAGGTGACACAAAGCTCAGCCAGCCATGAAGGGACTGTTTCTCATTCTTTTACTGTCTCACTCAAGAGGCAGATGCTCAGTTGCCTCAAGTATATTTTGATACTCAGACACGCAACTCACTGGTACCTGTCACAAAACAGAGGGGTCAAATTAGAACAGTGTGATCAAAAACCTTTTCCTTAAGCACTCATTTGGTGCAGGATATCTTTCTGCAGACATATCCAACTCTCGACATATCGCAATAAGACTCCAACAACATTTGGGACAACTGGCTGCAGTGAGAGCCACTGAGGCCATAAAGACAGAAACCCTGCTATGCCATCTGTATGCACAGTCACAGATGGAGGTAAACTGTACTTCCATGACAGCCAAAGTCAACAAGGTCATTCCTTACCTCCGACAATGAGGTATGTGTTTGGGAAGAGGTTCTTCGCTTGCATCAAGGCCCGGGCGTGTCCAGAGTGAAACAAATCAAATATTCCATCTGCGTAAACTCTGACAGGGCGATCCACTGTGCCAAAGGGACAGAGAGACATTTGTGAAGATGCCTTCCTGGAGAAGCAGCTGATGCTCATGCCCACATTTGGGGACCTTCTGAAACTCATGAGGGTGTTGCAGAAAACTGACAGAATGCAGAGCTGTAGTCAGGAAAGATTTGTGAAGAGAAATGGCTGGCTCTCTGCCTTTCCACGTGGAAACAAATGCAGCTGAGCACAGAGCTGAAATACAACCACGTTCAAAGATAGACTCAAAGCCTACCACGTACCCGACAAAACAAGGTGAAGGGAGACCAAGGGGAAAGCAGACCCCAAACACCTCCCTCCTATGGAAATCCAAATGCAGCATTAACTTTTTGCACAGCAGTGAGCTACCACAGGGAAACCGGCCCAAATGTTTCAGAGGTGACGGATTTCCCCCTGCCAGCCAGGATGGCATCTTGAGACCTTTTCAGCATCCTCCTCTGCAGCCTACTGTCACAGCTACCAGTCTGGCTGAAGAACCAGACTGATTTCTCACCAGCATTATTGGCTCCCCCAGACCCACGAAGTGTATGGCTCTATCCAAAAAGCCAGCTGGACTACCCAAAGAAAAGCAAAGAAATTCTCCTGAAACACTGGTACTATTAGCTAAATCCATAGATAAATAAGGAGGAACAAAACTTTTCTCAGGCTAGCTCTGATAGGGAAACTGTAGCTCAGCTCTTTGAGTTCAGCACAGAGGTAAAGTCAGACAGTCTAGCACTGCCACATAATAGTAGGAGGCTCCCTGAATTCTGGTCTCCTGGGATCTCACAAGACTGCAGTCCTCTTGCTGCTGGTAAACAGAAAACCACACAATCTTGGAAACTGGCACACTTAGGAATGGTCTGCTTCTCTCTGGCCCAATTCAGGCAGACAGGCTCAGAGGAGTGGTGTAAGCAGCAGCACACCAAAGCTGCAGTGAGAAGACCTAGCAAGAGAGATGAAACCCCATGGGTCTGGGCAGGGCCCTGAAGGTACCTAGAGACAGAGCCTGGGAGGTGGGAAGTGGGTGAGTTGATGCAAAGGCAGAGTTGTTAAATTCAAGCTAAGCAGAGTCGTCAGTTTGAAGACAGCCTCTTACGATCAGTTTTCAGCAAATCTGCCTCAGTCTGAAGATGCCAGGAGGCTCTGGAGAGCCAAGGATCTGGAGATCTGAGACTGCAAAAGCTTTTTGTATGCCAAGGAAGGGCTGGTCCTGGCAGGCATTTATTAAAGTGCAGTTATGTTCTGGAAACTGGCTGGGACATCCTTCCCTTTTCCTTCATACCTTGAGCAGCTACAGTTCCTGAGCACAGGCATAAACAGCAACAGGGAATCATGCAGTGTATTTTAGTCTCAGCAGGCAGGAGAGCCGTCACTTTTGAAATCAGAGACCTTTGTGCAGGCTCTGGAGTCTTTCAGGTGGAAAATTAATGCAGACTGTGAAATGCACTGGATTTCCAGAACCTCCAGCAGGCAACTACTGCCAGGTCTCAATCTGAGCTGGCTCATCTCTCAGCAGCAGTCAGGTAGGTAGTAGTGCAGCATTTTTATTATCTCTCTGTAGTCATAACAGAGAGGCCAAGAAAGATGGCACTGTTTGGCAAGAGAGGGCAGCCAACCTTCAGGAGTCAGTCTTGCCTCTGCCTCCCCCTCGGTCTTGCAAAAAGAACAGTGTTTCTCCCAGCCTGTCTTAGAGAATAAAAGGACATGGTGTTGTTGTGGGGCTGGCCTACTGTGTTTAATGACACTGACTTTAATTCAAATCCAGGCTTGAAGAGGACATTCTGAACAAAGACTTATGCTGGTTTTACTTGCCCACTTCAAGTTTCAGAAAGGATGACTTTTAAAGTGTTTAAGCTGCCTCAGACAAAGTAGTACAGAAAAATGTTCAACTCTCTTACTACTCTATAGCTGTCAGTGGCACATGAAGAGACAAGAATATCTATCTGCTTCAAATAGTCTTATTTGTGAAGGTATGGCTCCTCACACACACAAGCTCAAATTTCAGTTGTACTGGCAGGCCCGATTTCACATGGGAACCGTTATCTAATCACCAAAGCATTAACTAAGTCATTGGCCACAAATCTGGTCTGACACACAAGATTTGGTCTCAGATATCACAGACATACCTGCCTCCCGCCCCCAAACCCAATATTCATACAATCCCCTTCCAGTGGTTTGGTTTGTTTCTTTTTTGTTTGTTTGTTTGTTTGTTTGTTTGGGTTTTTTTTTTATACTTACAAGGGGTCCCTCTCATAGCTTCTTCATATGTTACTCTGATGTATGGCTTGCTGTAATCGATTTCCACTTCATCTGAAAACGGAGCTGGTTCCCTCAGTCCCTAAACAGCCAGAGAAGGTTAGCTGTGAGAGTGCAAAGGTGAGCGCAGAATGTAGCGGCAGCACTGACACTGCAGTGTCCTAGTCACCGAGTGACTCACTGTGTCTCTGCATGATTCAAACACATGTACCAAAAGACTAATTAGTGTTAAACCTCAAAACAGCCCTGCAGGGTGATTAACCTGAATTTAGAGAGGAAGAGAGAGATAAAAAAAGTAGAGTTAAGAAGATGATAGTCATACTGGACCCGACAAAACTGGAGGCTCAGATCTGCAGCTGGTGAAACCAGACTTTTGACAAACAGCAGTTCACAGCAGCACAAGCCAAGCTTCATCAAACCTCACTGACACAGCTCCAGCTATGCCCACCCTGGCAAGACCATCATTTTTCTGTGCATGAGTGCTTATATTGTGATGTACAAATTGTAATAGCTCCTTGATATAAGTACATGAATGAGCAGAAGAGCAATACCAACAGCAGCACAAGCTCCCAGAGAATGTGTGTATTGTTACCCATTCCTGAGACATACCTAATGAGAGTCTGGCCTTTGATCTCTGGCAGAGTATCTCCAACTGCTCCAGGAAAACCCCTCTAATCTGCTAGCTTGACCACAGCAGTATGTTTAATCAGCAGCTGAAGTCCAGGTATCATTTCTGGTCTCCTCTGAATGGAAACAAAACATCTGCCCTTCCCATAACAGAACAAACAGCTCAATTTCCTTCTAGCCAGAGGGTGTGGGGCAGGAATGGATGTCTATTTCCTGAGACAGAAGACTAGGAAACAAGCTTGTAGATCATTACAGTAATACCTTCAAGCTGCAAAAAGCTAATCAGCACTTTCCTCTCTGGCTTCCAATCCCACTGCAGGATCCTGCCACAGTGCCCAGCACCACTGCAACCAGAGAGACCGCTGCTCTTCTTGCTAATGTCATTCCTTATCAGAGTGCTCAAAGTGAAGTGCACAGCAACCACTGACCACTACATTCAAGCAAATTGATACTGCTGAAAATCTCCTTTAACTTACTAAGGCTCTAGTATCCACGTTTCACACACCACCTCCTCTACCACGATCTTTATTGTTAGGTAAGGCCTGCAGGTCTGTCCTTTCATCACTGCCATTATATCTGGGACCTGTGAATAAAACCAGATTCTTTGCAGTTTGGTTGGCACATACCTGATATGAAGCTAGGAATAAAATCTTTAAAAAAATGTATCGAAATTATCAGAGGATCACAGAGAAATGTCCTCAAAAGCTCCTACCAGAGTCTTGCCCTTCCTCTGCAGCGCCTACGAGGGTCAGGACTCAACCTGATGTGCACAATATAACAGTCTCATGAGTCAGCAGGCTTGTTACCACCATCTGCTGCTGAGCCCCGCTGCTTCAGGGGAACACTCTGCCAGTCAGCTGTTTAGTTGGGAACGGTAAAGACTTCAAGGTAACGTCACAGTTAGGCAACACTATTGCTATAATAAATAAAACTTTCACAAAAGGAAGAAAAAAGAAATCTTTCGTCAGGAGGTCTGTGTTAGCCTTGTGGCTAAAAAACAGCCAGGAAATTTATAAAGTGGCTAGATATTACTTGTCTTGTACTGTTCCTAAACAAATGCTTTATTTCTAACATAGGACAGACACCAACTTGAAGAGCAAGTGATTCCCATGGAATAACTGGCATACTTCTCTTTCCTTATTGAAATACCTGGGGTCTTTAAGAGGGACAGGGTGGGTTTTGATAACAGTCAAGGAAATAAAGGTTCTGTGGGATAAGTCATGCAGCAGCTCAAGCCTCCATTCCCAATGATTTTCTTCCCAGTTCTCACTGCTGGTGTTGTTACCCTCTGTCAAATGCTCTGGGACAGGACTAAAGTACTCCTGAAGAGCAAAATATTGTTATCAAAGAGGAAATCTGCAACGCATCACCGTATTTTGCCAAGGACTATGACCCCAGTAAGACGTGGCAGGGATGGTATCTGTTTTTTGACAGAGATAAGGAAAGTGCAACTACAGCACACATGATACACAGAACAACTCCAGGAAGAGGGCAGAGAAGAGCTGTAAAAAGCCCATCTTCACAATATTGCAGCAAGGACAAGTTAAAGTCAGCCCTTTACACTAGCATTAACTGGCACAGACCCCCTTTAGAAAAGACTTCGCTGGATTTAGCTTGTTAAAGCTGTCCCAACATTAATCTAGAAGGAGACAGCCTTTTGGTGTGTTTTTTTTTGGTTTGTTTTTTTTTTTTTTTTCTTTCCTGAACACTCCTGAAATACCAGTAACATAAATGCAGTCTCCTGCCAGACCAAGAGAATCGAATGAACAGTCACATCTTCCCGGTGTTTCACAGCACAGAGTCAACAGATTGCTTCTTCAGGTGCTTACAGACTTCAGACCCTCCTGCAGTTCCCCTGACTCGAACAGGACTGCTTTCTGTGAGGAGCACGAGTTGTTTGTTTGCTTGGAGTATTTCTCCCTCCCACCGGGTCGCTTAAGAAAACCCACCTGTGAGAAATGAATGCTTACTTCTCCACGGATAGCCATATTCACGCCTGTTTGGGTTCAGCTTATGTGACTACAAACAGGCCAGACACACCACAAAAGCAGCTTAGCGATTCTTGCCTCAGACCTAATTTAAGCCCATGTTGTAAGTATGTTATTAGAATGAACAAAGGAAGATTTTAAACTGGCTTTGCAAGAAGGATAGCTGCTGTCATTTGCTTCTTCCTGCCCCCTCCCCAACTTGCTTTGTATGTCCACAGCAAAAGCATCAGATTTATCTTTCTGCTGTTATGGCTCAATGTACTAATCTCACAGGCACCTAAAGCTCCTATCTCTGCTTACTTACTAGTGAGCGTCGTGACATTTTTGGAGGGATTCCATCCAGCTCTGTCGCCCCATTGGGGCCAGATCCATCTTTTCTTCTCTTTCGGGAATTCAGCCTGGAAGAGGTTGGTGGCTCCATCTTGCCAAGCACATCCAGTAAGAACTGGAACGAAATGCAGGAGGGGGAAAAAAAAAAAACAACAACAAACAACAATAGAGAAAAAAGGGATATTTCTCAGCTCTTCCAAAGCAGAATCAGTCAATAGCAGGCAGAGTGTACAGAAGGTCAGTGCAAAGACACAGCCACCTAACAAGGGGCTTAGCCAGTTGTATTTGGCATCAGCTGCCAAGGCTTGACAAACAGTGCTTGGTGGGAATACTGAATGATTTAACGCAGCCCAGAGCTGTTCTGCAGAGAGAAGCATGCAGTGGTCAGCTGGCTGGAGAGAAACTCGCACAAGAGTTGCAAGTTATAAATCATTACAAGAATAATGATGCTATTTTAGCATCTGAAAAGCAACCTAAGAATTAAGGCATGCCCAGTCCTCATTCAGCCCTCCCCCAGCACTCATTTTGCTGAATGCAAACACTTCTACCCTTCTGTGCCCCCCCAACCCATCCCCTCCAAGACAGCTGGTGGGTGTGCTGCATCCCGGTACAATCCTGAAGAGATGAAGGAGCAGGTTTAAGCAGAAGGATAAGGGTGAGGGAAGGGGTGAAACACATGGTCATAACTTAAATAACTAGCTGGCTTGCTGTTTGCTTTGTTGTTTGTGTAAGACCAAGCTGCAGCTCCCCGGTAGGGACAGCTCACCTTGGGATGGCTGCCACCACGCTCCCCTATTGTCCCCTGTCCCCACCGCAGCGGTGACTCAGCCAATGGTGAAACAGCTGCTGACACCACATTAGGGCACACTTACTTATGGCACTTTATGTGCCAGGTTGTAATTAGTGGTGGTTCAGCTGAACTCCTTCTGTGATGAACAGACAATTTGGGACAGAAATTGTGACAGTTATATGGAAGTAAGCACTCTGTGCTTTTGAGCTGGAGTCACTGTACCTTCCCAAAAGGGCCCAGGAGCATCAGGAAGCCCAGCACTTCACACAGTTGAAGCAAAGGTAGGGATTTATAGAAGGGCATGGCAGCAAGCATTCACTCCTCAGCTGCTGCAGGAGCTAGAAATGGGTGCTAGATTTGCAAAGTTTATAACTGAAGAGCAACATTCTCTCTCATGCTCACTTGAAGTGTGCACCTCTCCTGTGCAGCAAATGGCACTTCTGAGCTGCCATTCCCGAGAGCAGCATGACCTCTCCGCCCAGGAATGATGCTTACATGCATGCCTCAACACCCTAATAGTAAGAACCGCATGGAATTTAAAACGGCTCCACACCCACATGCAGTGGGTGTGCTAGAACACATTAGGTGGGGCAAGTGGGAGGTATGAGAAAGGGCAGATATCCCTCTGAACGCCACCCCTCTCCTTGGCAGAGGGTCTCTGCTGAGCGTGCCTGCTTGGGACAAGCTGGGACTGTCCTCAGTAAGGGCCACTGGGCAAAGCTCTGCAGTTCTTCAGCAACCAAGAAGTGTGGGCTTTGTGAAAGAGAGCTGTTAAGAAGTAGATTTAGTAATCAGATTTACTCAAGCACAAATGATTCCCGGTTAAGGAATGTTCCAAAGTAAGGAGTCAAATGCAGTATAGTAACACGCGAACATACTGCTCTCCCCACACAGCATCGAGATGATCCCTTCTCAACAGCATTAGGGCCAAACACAGCTGAACTGGTTTTGGGCTACATGCATACAAGTATCCCAGATTGCTCTGGCAGACCTAACACAATACATTAAGAACAGGAAAAGCAAAAAGAGCAAAAAACCTTTTGGGGAGAAGACAAGTGACAGTGAAGATCAGCCACAAGAGCATTTCAGAACCGCATGAGCCATCCAGCACTCACTCTACAATGCCTTCGAGTCAAGTTTGCCGAGTTTCCCTCATTCCAGTAATTAATTTACTATTTCCTAAAAACAAACATATGGGAGTGTGCAAGAACAATTGCAGGAAAAAAGTTTGCAACCCTGAGCTCCAAGTCTTCAAACACTTAAGAAAACATTTAACTTTCAGGCAAGGTCTGTGCTATAAATGCAGCAGCTTCCAGAGTGCCTCTCTGAAAACAGGCTATGACACAAGTAATTCTTAGGTTGTGCAAGGTGCCATCTTGCAAGCACACTCGGTATCGGTTATTTACTCCACCACCATGGTCCTAGCAGAAACCATCCAGCTCACAAAAAGCAGCAGACCTCTGTGTCTGGTTCAAGTATCCCCAGAGTTTTTGGAAACAGCTGGGGGAAATAGCAGGTTTTCTTGTTATTTGGTCAAGATAATTTCCCTGTGCTTCAAGCCACCTGTTGGTCTCTGATCAGTCTCTTTCCTTCCCTTTGGAGAGAATTAAAAGTTCTGTTAATGTGCTGAATGCAGTCATGAACCACTGCCCAGCAAAACATTAAAAAGCACTGGCAGAGGCTCTGGTGCTGAAGTACGGACACAGGACCCTTCACGGACAAACAGGTGAAGCTCTTCCCATGTTATCCTGGCCCATCAGAGCAACCAGACTTCTCCGCACGCAAGTACACTCTCTGCTGAGTTACTGCCAGCATCCTGCTGCAGGGTGCAGAGCACACGGCCAGCCAAAGAACTGCAGGTTACAGCACAGGGCAACACCGTGCTTTATGCTGATGTACAGCAGCACTGTCTGAGCCCAGGAGAAACCCCCAACAGCTTCTTCCAACCCCTCCCACACCTAACCATCCACTTCACCCTAACTCACTTTTCTACTTCTCAGAGTATATGTAGTCAAATGATGGCAAACAATAGCTTAAGCAAATGGATTTGCTTTGCATTAAATAAGCAGCAGTGGTCAGACAGCTCCAGTCACCCAGCAGCAGCAGCAGCTCTACCTGACATACCAAGGGAGAAACCTGCTTCAAGCATGGCGTAAATATGCTCTATCTGCTCTGATCTTACAGGCTAGACGTTGCTGAAGGAGCCCCTACAGTGTCTGGAGAGCTGGGCATCTCATGAGTGACGCTGCTCTGCTAATTACTCAAATTAATGAAGAAATTAAACAATAATTTTAGCACTCTTCAGAACTTCAAAACCTCCATCCTGTGGCTAGCACGTTTCTGGGAAGTCCTTCCAGCACCAAACTCACCTTCATTAAAAACTGGGAACATGTTGTTTTTAAAAACACACCATACCTTGCTGCGATAAAGCTACTAATCTTAGAATGTTTCACTTTGACCCAAATGACTAAAATAGCATCCCAAACAATTACTTACTAACAATGGGATCCAGCATCTGTAGCTGAGCTTAACACATGAGCACATAGCTTTACTTACCCAAATGCGTAAAACACTGGCTGTTCTAAAATTAATTATATTTGCAGCAGGTGGGGAAGAGGAAAGAGAAGATAACTCTCAAAGCTCATTCTGAAAAACTCAAAGATAAAACCCAGGCATAACCAGAAGGAAAAGCCCTGCTGTAAAATATTAACGTCGTTCTGTTTTGTTCAAGGCATCACCCTCCTGCATTACTGAGTCTGTACTGAACATGAGAAACTGCTTGTTAGGAGCAAAGTGAAGACGTGCCCCATTTGGGAAAGCCATGGGCAGATCACAGTCGCAGCGACACTTTACAAAACACATGGGGCTTTGCTTCTGAAATTTATTTCTTTGGTGCACATCCTGTATCAAAGTAGCGCCTTGCATTACCTGCCAACTAGCTCACCTATGGGCTCTGTGAGGAGCAACCAACTGCCAGACGGGAGAAGAGCTGCTCTCTGTGTCAGGGAATCGCTCCTCTTGGTCCACAAGTGCAGATATTGAATAAAGGAGGGGAAGCGGTTGAAGGGACAAATAGGAATTTTCTTTAAACTGTGGCAATAACAGCCTTCAGAAACCATCCAGCACTTTGCTGAGTAATACTCCAAAGGTCAAGTCATTTCCCACTGAAACATGGCCACTTCTGGGAGGGAAGAAGGACAAGCATCGATTATCACAAAGTCAAAAAAAAAAAACCTATAGGCAGGGAAGGTATTTAAAAATTCTCTCTTAGTGTGAGTTAACTACACCATCATCAGAGCTGGAATTTAACCACAACCCCAAAGTTAACACCTCTGGTCGATGGAGCTCAAGAAGGTAGAGCAAACCTCCTGGCTTAGCCAAAGCCTTATCTCACTGCCTGCATCCTCATGGACAGTACTGACGTTTTGTTTAGCCTTGGTGGTGTCAGAGAACTGCCCGCCTCACACTACAGCAGAGAAGAAGATGAGATATTTCTGCACCCTCAGTGTACTGATGGCATGAGGACCTGACCCATTTGCATTCTTTGTGCTTTCTGTCCCAAGGAATTTCTTGAAGAATATTATAATCTGCAAACCTACATGCAGCAGCAGGGTTTCTTCTGTAACTTCCACTGCTTTTCACTTGCAGATTTACGCGCCATGCAGAATAAATCCTGCTACTTACATTTGAAGCTTGTGCAAGACAAGAGCTGACTGCAACAACTCAGTAAATGCTCCAGCCCCAAGCTGCTGCATTTCCCACCCAAGATCTGAGTCAGGGGAAGGCTGGCCCAGCGAGGCCCCTCTGACACCCACAGCTCCCCGGCTCCCTGGTGGCACTGCCAGCTGCCCGGCTCGCCCATCGTCCCTCTGAACTCAGAAGGCATTGACAGAGTCATATGTGACTGTCATGTGCTGCTTTGCCTACAAGATCATTCCACTTTACAGGAGCAAGCTATTTCTCTTCTGCTGACTCATCTGCAGGCAAATACTACTAAACTTTGCACTCTGCCAGCTGTCTGCAGAGAATTGCCTTGACACATGGACAGCACATAAGCAAGAGCCTCAGAGAAAAGGAAGAAGTTGTGTCACTTCAGATAGTTCCCCTGTCAGGCTGTAAAGTACCCAAACCCAAAAGAGAATCCTTTCCCCCCTGATCTCCCTCAGCTCCAAGCCCCAGTTTACAATTAACCTTACTGGTGTGTATCCTTGTAGAGGTTTGCAGACAGAAAGACTCAGAAGAGGCTAATGGCACAAGACTCATCACAGACTCCTGGAGAAACTAATGAAAACCTGTTTACAAGATGAGGCTTAAACTGTACATAATTACTGGGAGAGATCAGGATCCTTCTCCAATCTGCGCTTAAAAATCTTGCCCAATCTCCAAGGCAACTTCATTCCCAGGCTGGCCAGGCCCAGCTCTGCCCCAGTCTCTAGACTGGGAGCATCTGCTTAAAAACTGAGTGCTAATGGCTGCGACTCAGTCTGCTCACCTCCAGAGAAGACTGCTACTCTCCCCAGCACTCTCCCCACAGTCAGCATCTGCCCTACCTAGACAGCCTAAGCCCTCAAGCCCCCCATAAAGGTTACTGCAGGATCTGGCAGGCAGAGCCTTATCTATACTTAAAACATAGGCTGCTTCAGCTGCTCCGGTTGAGCAAAAGCAGCTATACTGCAGCATGTTAATAGCCACATGAATGTATAAAAGGGATTCCAGTTCAGCCACTGCCACACACTGGTCCGACAACATCCAGAACCAGACCTTTTCTACACTGGCTAAAACAAACCCCCAAGACTTCCATCCCCTACTGCTACAGGCAGGCTGATAACATTTTCTCAAGCACAGCCCGAGCACGCAGATCTGGTACCTGTGTCCTGCAATCAATGAAAAGATGCTCCTTTTCACCAACAAGGTCCCAAATGGCTTAAGATAATTCGCTCTAATGCCACCACAACTGAAAACAGTGCAGTGTGATCACCTAGGCAGCGCTGCTATGAAATACACACACAAAAAAAGAAACTGCTGGCAAAACCTTTGTGAATTCATGGCCCTTCTGGGTACACCATAACCCCGAGGCACTGAGTGTCCTGGCATGCGACAGAAGTCTCTGCTGCGTTTAGCAAAGCAGCAAGAGTAGGGTTTATGCAGAATATCAGACAAGATTTGGAGCCTGCCCAGGGACAATGAAGTACAAGGATGGGCGGTCATTCTGTCCTGACTGCTGGGTTGCGTTGCATTGTGTTTCATTTTTAGGGCTTAACAACAGAGCCTTCTGAGACTTCAGAAGGCAACCCTCTTTAGTAGGTTTACACATCAATACCAAATCCTTGCTTTAACAATTATTGTTTGTGGCTCATCTTACAGTAGTTTTAAGACAATTACAAACCAGATCTTGGATGAAGAAACTTCCAAGTCATTCATTTTAATAATTCTGTATATGCAGGAAATAAAGCACAGATATTTTCTATCTGAATTTCAGAAGATGATACAGTGGCTGTCCTCAGGCCCTGAAGTCCTGCAGATGGAACCCTCACCAGTACCTGCTTCTGACCACACCAGTCTTTGCCAGCTGCAAGCTGGGGGACCTGGTGCTGTGTCGGCACAGGGTGGGAACAGAGGAGGGAAGGCCACCTGCAGCATCCTGAACCTCCCTCTGCAGCACAGGAGGGCTACCACGAATTGTCACAACTCTCAGAATTCCTGCAGACTTTAACTCTAATTACACAAGCATTAATCAGCGCAGCCAGGACTTTGGTGGACACAAAAAGCAGGTTAGGGAAGATGTGTGCCTGTGCAGCAGCTAGGTCACACCTTCCTTCTCCGCAGCCAGGGCCACCTCCTCGTTGTTCTCCCCTCTCCCCAGGACACGGCTGCGTACCCAGGTGGGGGGGATGTCCCCCCAAAACCCCTGCGCTCTAAGCCCTGTACTCCAAAGTTTCCCAAAGCATCTCCTGCTGTCTCCTCTCGGCCTGCCCCCCCGCCCCCCACCACAGCCCTTCCTGCCACCCCCTGAGCACTGTGCCCGAGCCCCAGCCTCTCCCCAAGACCCTCCAAAGGGGGAAGCAGCTCACCATGTCGTACCCCCCTGCAGACATTGCCCCCCCTTTGCCTGGAGCCAAGCACCCACCGGCCAGCACCTCCCAGAGCCCCCCCGCCCCACGCCTGTGCCCACAGCCACCCCGCTGGGAGAGAGGTCCCGGGGCGGGGGGGGGGGGGGGTCCCCGCCTCACCCCGCACGGCAGCGTGGGGTTCCCCTCACGGGCCTCCCAACCTAAACCCACCCGCCTGCCTCCAGCTCCCGCCACGGGCACCCTCCGGCGCCGCAGCGCCCCGTCTCCTGCTGTACCCTTCCCCACACCGACATACCTGTCCCCAGAGCCACCCCACGGCCACACCCCCCCACACACACCACATCCCCCCGTGACAGACCCCCCATACCCACACCCGCCGCCCCCTCGGCGCCAAGCCGGCCGGTGCCCCCGAGCCCCCCCACTGCCCGCACGCACCTCCGCAGCCCGATCCCGATCCCGATCCCGATCCCGATCCCGATCCCGATCCCGATCCCGCCGCTGCCGGAGCCGCTCCCGGCGCCAGCCCCGCCCCGCTCCCGCCAACGCCAACGGGGCGGCGGGCGGAGCCGCTGCGTGTCGGGCCGGGGCGGCAGGAAGGGACCGGACACGCCCCGGGAAACTGCGCCCGGAGAACCTCCGTTCCGGCTCGCCGTGGGTCCCCCCCCCCCTCCCCTCGCCCCGGGGAGGGTGCTGGGTGCCCCCGGGGCTCCGCGCTCGGACCGGCGGCTCAGCGGAGGTTTGCTGCTGCGGCCCACAACGCTGCCCTCCGTATGCTCAGTGTCAGTTCTGGGGGTTAAGGAAGGAGGGAGCCAAGCCCCCCCCCCCAGAGCAGACCCTGGCTTCATGGCAGCCCTGCAGCTCCGGCACGGCCGGCCTCGGCCTCGTCCCGCCCGTGCCTGTATCCCCTCAGCAGCCGCCTGGTCTTCATGCAGGGAAGACACAGCACCCCTCACCCAGCTCAGGCCACGGCCAAGGGCGACCAGAGCTGAACGATCCCAGACTCAAACCTGCTTTGTGAAGTGGCTGTTAAAAACCTCCACAATAGAGCAAGTGCAAGGCGAAAAATTGTGATTTATCGCTGTGACTTGACAGAAGTGTCAAAACGAGGCTGAGGGCATATACCACCTCCTGGCAAGTGCCTTTAAGTGGAAGGTTTTGCTCTTCCCCAAAACTTACACTCCCAGGCTTGCGCACAAACCCTTGCAGCCTCTGCGGTTCCCTTCATGAGTGAGAGCCGCAGGTGGCAGCAAAGCAATTGGGGAAGTCACTATTTACCATCAGAGGAAAATGAAAGGAAGTCACTTTTAACCAAATATAATACAGAAACAGGACTGTGCTGCCTCCAGGGTTGTAGCCAAAAGAGTGACTCTAGAAGATGCATCATAATTTGTTACTTCCCCACTTTCCAAGTGCTGCGTTGACAGAGTGAGTTCTGCTCTAACAGCTGGTGACGGTAGGATTCAGGGTTCACCTCACCCAACTTCAGCACTCTGAAAGCCATTCATGCCATTTAAATTGTTCAGCTACGCTTGCTCCGTGGTTAGCACAGATTGAATAGGCATCAGTGCACAGCAACTCATCCCATCTTCTGATGGGCATCTGAGATGCACTCTGGTGGCACCCGCTCTCTTGGGAACCAACCTGGTCCTCTAACTTTTGGGAATATGCAAGGCTTTAGCACTCCTCTTCAGATCTACAGCAGCCTTTTCTATTGCTCCTTTCTGAGGCTGGATTCCTAACAAATTTGGGCTCCAAACATCCACCATCATATTCCAAAACAATTACAGAGAGGCAAAGTTCGAGAAAGCACTGCAGTATCTGCCACAGAGGGCAATGAGCAGTGATTACTCACAGTGTCCACGAGTGCCAAATTGTACCAAGCCAACGAGGAGTTACAGTAGGGAGGAGTTTCGGCAGTCGTGGGGTGTGCAGGCTGATGGCCTGACCTAATGTCCTAAATACCTTGTCTTCCTATCCATTAATACCATCTTGTGTGACACAGCTGGGATTCACAGCCCAATTGTTATGGGAAATGAACAAATCTGGATAACCAGAATAAGAGGTCAGCTTTATGGGTTAATTTACAAAGAATCTTCAAAGAACGCTCATCCAAGAAAGACAGACAAGCTGTCCAGGCTAGTACATCTTGTAGAGTAGAGGAAAAGGACAAACAGTGGAAATGGTGAGGGTCAACCCACAGGAGAGGAAATATTAAATACATAGATTTATTATGTTACATTTGCTATAAATATATTTCATTCATTTCAGAAAATGAACAAAAATAAAAGCAACAAAACCCTTTCAAGACAAAAGTTGAGTTTGCCTTAGAAACAATGGCTATTGGCAATACACTTTTAGGATAAAATCAATACACTATATATAAAAATGAAGGGCGATTTAAATAAGGGACATAATAATATTGTGCTTAAAGCTGTATCGATATCCACAAGGAAAAAGGAGTGTTGCAGTGTGTAGAACAGTTGTAGGACATGCTCTGTAGAGCTGTTGTTTTGTTAGGTACTAAAGGAAGAACATGATGCTTTTGAGTATGTTAACAAAAAAATACCCTAAAATGTTCTTCCCCACCTCTGTCCTTCTGTGCAGTGTTTACCATCCTCAGTAGTAGAAGCAGCCAAACGCAGCTACCACACAAAATAGGCTGTCCTGGGAAAAACAGAGAAAGGCTCTGTGTTAGTGCAGGCAAGCTCTTTGCTACTCTAACTGAAAAGGCTAACCTAAGGGAACATTTAGACCAGAACATAACCTTATATTGCAATTTTCTGTCTTTCAGTTAGTTTCTTATTCACCTCACTTGTGGTGTAACCCAAGTCAGTGTGTTTGAATGCCAGAAATTCCTTACTTCACTCCATCTACACACCCACAGGTACCTAGATGTCAGTCTAAAATAAAATAAAATTAAAATAATAATGAAATAAAACATTGACTTTTGTGCAGTCCTGGATTCCAGCCATACTCCATGGCAGCAGTTCAGCAAAGAATATAAGAAAAGACTTTATCTCTTCTGTTTCCTCTCCCCACCTGTAAAATGGCACGACTATAACGACTTTTGTATAGTACTGTATGACCTACTCAGGAAGTAGGTTTTACTATGTTGGATATTACATCTAAATATGTTTTGTGAATGAGGACATAAATCATACTGTTTCAATAGTCTTGGTTCCTTCCTTCTAGTGGTTGTTTTTTTTTCCGCTCCACATTTAAGGTCATTCTGCTTCTCACACAAAAGCAAGTAGCTTTACATTTTCCCATGGAAAACAAGCGATACTTACATTCATGTACACATCGTGGGCATAGCTGTCAGTGTCAGCATCCCAGAAACATCGTGCAGCCATACTAGACAAAGGAGATAGAGCAGAGCCATCACCCACAGAGTTCACGTGTAAGGACCTAAGTGATCACTGATACTTTCCTCAAAAAGCAAACTGAGCTTCCTTTAAAGATAGAGGAAACAGGGAGCAGTCTCCTGAACCCTGAGACTAGGTGCCCACTGCTGAATTCCACCACATGCTGTAAACCCCTCTGTGTGTTGACCAAGCTCCATCTTCAAACACATCAGCTACCCACCCTGCTACCCGCACTGTGCAGCAGGGCTTGAAACCTCATTGCTGTGGTGCTTAAGAACATTTGACTCCTGGCCTATGCATATCGGTGGCTAAATTAGCTTATTCTTGTCCTTCACCTCCTGCACCCTCGTGGTATGTACTCCCAATTTATTTATAGGGAGCTATCATATTTCTTGGCAGATGTTGTGTTACTAGATCACGAGCTAAGCTCTTCTAGTCTTTTCATGCTGGCAATGTTGATCAGCTGGAGGGAAGGAAGCCAATACAGAAGGATCTGGATAGGCTGGATCAACGGGCTGAGGCCAGTTGTATGAGGTTCAACAAGGCTGAGTGCTGGGTCCTGCACTGGAGTCACAACAACCCCACTCAACGCTACAGGCTTGGGGAGGAGCAGCTGGAAAGCTGCCTGTCGGAAAAGGACCTGGGTATGTTAGCTGATAGCCTGCTGAATATGAGCCAGCAGTGTGCCCAGGTGGCCAAGAAGGCCAACAGCATCCTGGCTTGTGTCAGAAATAGTGTGGCTAGCAGGCCTAGGGAAGTGATCATCCCCCAGTACTCGGCACTGGTGAGGCCCCACCTCACATACTGGGTTCAGTTTGGGGCCCCTCACTACAGGACAGACATTGAGGTGCTGGGATGTCTCCAAAGAAGGGCAATGAAGCTGGTGAAAGGTCTAGAGCAGAAGTCCTGTGAGGAGCAGCTGAGGGAACTGGTGTTGTTTAGCCTGGAGAAAAGAAGGCTGAGGGGAGACCTTATCGCTCTCTACAGCTACCTGACAGTAGGTTGTAGCAATGTGGGTTGGTCTCTTCTCCCAAGTAACAAGTGATAGGACAAGAGGAAATGGCCTCACATTGCACTAGGGGAGGTTTAGATTGGATATTAGGAAAGATTTCTTCACTGAAAGGGTTATCAAGCATTGGAACAGGCTGCCCAGGGAAGTGGTTGAGTCACGATCCCTGGAGGTATTTAAAAGATGCATAAATGTGGCGCTTAGGTACATGGTTTAGTGCTGGACTTGGCAGTGCTAGGTTAGCGGCTGGACTCAATGATCTTAAAGGTTTTTTCCAACCTAAACGATTCTGTGATTCCACAAATCATATCTATACTCTCTGTTCCCTGACCATCCTGCTGGCCTTTTTCTACACCTGCTTCAGTCCAAGCCTTACCCTGAAGACAAGCAACCAGACTGTAACATGATATTACAGACGAGACCTCACTATTGCCTTGTCTAATGTCATTGATGTTCCCCTTTCACTGCTGCAAATGCCCAGCTCCCTGCCTGTCCCAGTCAGTTTCAGCTGACTGGATCCCTGTTTGTGGCACAGT